ACGATGCTAAAGGGTTGGAAAAACCGCAAAATAAAATTACATATGAAATATCTAACTGTTCGCCCACTACTCCTTACGCCGTTGTGGTTGCAAAGCCGACAAAGTAGGGTGAGAGAGCCAGACGAGAAATTCGGAATGGATTCTTATACAGGCAGATTGGAGAAAGAACGATGAAGATGAGATGAGTGAAGTGTCTAGCGGAATTGAGAGCGACAAAGAATCGTAGTGACTCGAAAGTGTCTGGTAAGTTGTCCGCATTCGAGACGGAGCTCATGACCATAAACATCACACAGACGAAAGTGATTCTAATGTCAGACAACACGTTAACCAAATTCAAAAAAGTGAAAATTAGGGGTTTTGTTCCTTTTTAATGACTGTTGATTTGCTAATTGACTTAAGGAAGAAATTTCTGCATAAGAAGCATAACCACATCACCTAGTGAGGCAAAAATCCCTGAAGAGAAGACCCTCATGCCTTGCTGCGTCGGTAGCCAAAACGAAAGCTACCGGACAGAAGAGAACACCAGAGAATCAAATGGGAGAGAATAAGAACTTGATTCAACCTAGAAAGCATAATTCGTTTCTCTGGGTGGGGAAGCATTAAAATTGCTGAGCAGTGAAAAGCAGATAAGTAAATGGAGTGGTCACCCGAGAGTGAAGGAGAACCTACAGATCGCTTTGATGCCGCTGATGGGAATACTGAAGTAGAATGTTTACTTTTCACTGTTCACTCTCGGATGATCGAAATCAGTAGCGACCTGTAAGAAATGACAATCATGTCAACAGGCCTGCTAGAGGTTACTTACCACGCTTGGGAATAATGCAATAAGGGAGGTCAAGAGTCTAAGGGTTAGGGGTTAGGAGTCAATAATAGCTGATTACCTAAGAGAGGGTTAGGTGTACAAGATTCTGCAAGAAGAACTTCCCAAAGGCAGGGAGCGCGTGCGCGAGGTTTAACAATACAGAAAAGTAAACTGATATGCCACGGTGTTTTAAGGCAACTCACAGTAGAAGGTCCCAGAAAATATAGGATATCTTAATGCCCTTATTTGCCGAAGCCCCATGCGGTCCCGGCGCTGCATAAGTTGCACCTTTGTTCTACAATGTTAAGAGTGTTTTTAACTGAAAATATCAAGGTGCACTTGTATGGGTGTGTTGAGGGCCGATGATTGCGAAGGACTTCTGTTGGGCCAAAGGACCATAAATGCAGCATTGTGCTCGACGCATTGAGTTAGTGGAAATAGAAATGGAAGAAGCACATGTCTTCCTACCTGGTTTAATCAGGATGAAGTGTGTTAGTCCAGTAAGTAAAGAAATGAGGTTGAAGGCGAAAATGTAGG